ATTGAAATATAAGCTAAAAAATGGCCCATTTACCGGCGAAAAATCGATGGTTTGATTTTTTAATGAAAAATTGTGGTTGCTATTTTGAAAAATGTGCAACATTTGAAAAATTAGGTCCCGCGAAAAATATTGGTCCCCCGATAATACGAAAAAACCCGAAAACACACTTTATTCGGGGATCTGTCAAAAGCCCGAAAATCAGAATCTTGAAAACCACAATCCCGAAAATCAGCATTCCAAATTTTCAGAATCAAATTTTCAAAATCTCGAATTTTCAAAATCTCGAATTTTTAGAATCTCGAAATTTCCATGGTCTAAATCGGCATCAAAGGCTCTGGAAATTGCACGCCAAAGCCCTGAATCCAGCCTAGTAAATCCCTTCGAGATTCTCAAATCTCGAAATTTTACTTTCGAGGCCCTGATAGGTCTAAATAGATTCATCCTCCCCCTCTCGCCCCCGCCGCGCCGCTAACATTCCAGTACCAAGCTTTCATCCGACCCACCAGTTCCACCACGTATTCTTAGTTGGGCCCGGGTTTTTCCCAGCCTCGGCTCGCTGGGCTTCGGTCCTCATGGACCGCGATCGAAATCGCGGTTAGGCGTTCACGAAGTTCGGCGTCGGTTATATCCTTGCACAGGCACGGATATGAACGCCTCATCTCGCTGGCGTGCTGGCCACGCTATCTTCGCGGGGGTCAGGTTGCCAGCCGGACGCGTTTTCAGACCCTCATCAGACACGTCCCGTGGGGCGGATGACCAGGTTCTGGGTCGGGCTCCGCGGCTCTAAACAGGGCTCTTCTTCGTCAAGCTGGGGGTAGTCTCAATTTTTTTTTCTGGGGATCTGATTTTTCAAAGACCAATAAACAATAAACCAAAAAAAAGGTTACGCTGGCATTTCGCCATTTCGAAAGCGGTTGACTTGAAATTTTGAACAGAGTTTAGGAAGGGAATGTAAAACGTTCACGGAATCTTTCAGCGCGTTTTTTTTGCGCTTCCGAACCACGGAACTTCCATGCAACGTTTCACACACACTCACAGACACTATTTTTTATATACAGGGTGTCCCAATAAGAAACACCGCCCTCTAACTCGACGACGAAATTTCGGATCTGAATGACAATTACACCATTCGAAAGCCCTTCAAACGGCGAATTGGCGACAAATGTTTGAACCCCTGTTTTGTTCAAACGCGCCATTTTACAACACCTTTAAAGCATTGGAGAAACGGCTTCTGTATCTAATTAACGGCTACTACCGGTCATTTGCTTGCAGAAATTGAGACAAAATAGCTCATATGCAACCCCGAAAAGCGGTAAAATTTTACAAAATGGCTTGTAAAATGGCGCACTTAAATAAAAACATGGTTTTGAAGATTATTGCAAATTCGCCGTTTCAAGGGCTTTCGAATGGTGTAACTATCATTCCGATCCGATACTTCTGCGTTGAGTTCAAGGGGGGCGTTTTTTATTGGGTCCCCCTGTATAGTAGGATTATAATTATGTCGCTTACCGTTCCGGCATCGGCTCCATGCGAGTATCTCATCGCGCGCAACCCAATCGGCCTTCTTCAACGACCTCTTCAACGACTTTTCGACGACCTGCGGGCGTGGCTCAGCTGGCCGGGCGACGGGCTCGGCGCGTGGAGGCACAATTTGTGCTTCCGCGGACGCGTATGAAGACGTGTCGGTGACGGAGGGGCTGGAAAGTACGCTTGAATTTTTCCAGAGTGGATTGTTTTTAGGTCTCTATGATGATTTACATTCATATCGCCGAATTTTCATATCCTTAGTGGAGCGAAGCGAAATCGGATCCCAACCCACCTCTGGGGTAAAATATAGCTCAGCTACTTTCTTCAGGAATAGCGTCGAAGCAAAGGGACAAACTCCAGTGTCCCCAGTTCCCTGTCTTTTTCCAACGAAAGCGATTTTTTTTTTTTTTTTTTTTTTTTTTTTTTTTTTTTTTTTTTTTTTTTTTTTTTTTTTTTTTTTTTTTTTTTTTTTTTTTTTTTTTTTTTTTTTTTTTTTTTTTTTTTTTTTTTTTTTTTTTTTTTTTTTTTTTTTTTTTTTTTCCCCCCCCCCCCCCCCCCCCCCCGGGGGGAGCTTTGTCAGCCAAGCTTAGCACGGCCTATTTTTTGGTTCCCCTAACCAAACTAGTCTGTTTCGGTTATTAGTAAAAATGCCTATTTTTAGAAACTGTCGGTCGTTTTTATAATTATGTGGCTTAATGGTCTCAGCGCCGGTTCCATTTGAATCTCATCGTGTGGGCGGAACACAGCCGGCTCTTCGATCGGGACGGAGACGAACGCCGGGCGTGTATCAGCCGGCGGTGCGACGGGTTCGGCGAGTTCGAGCGCAGGAACAATTTGTACCGGTCCTTGACTGTCGTCAGCTTGCAGCCACGACTTCACCACGGCCGCGTATGAAGGCCGATCGATGTTGGATGAGCTGGAAAGTGCATGTGCTCAAAAGTCGCAGACGACTTCGTCAAATCAAGACCTGGCAATAATCCCCCCTCTACCGAGATGGACGGTTGTGTCCGATAGGACGGCTTAGTTTTTTGGTTTCCCCCGACCAAACTAGTTTCTTTCTGTTATTATGAAAATTGCCTATTTTCAGAAAAACTGTTATTAGTCGTTATTATAACTATGCGGCTTACTGGTCTAGCGGCGGCTCCATTTGAGGCTCATCATGGGGGGCCGAAAGCGGCTGGCAGTTCAATTGGGATGGCGACGAACTCCGGGCGTGTATCAGCCGGCGGTGCGACGGGTTCGGCGAGTTCGAGCGCAGGAACAATTTGTGCCGGTCCTTGACTGTCGTCAGCTTGCAGCCACGATTTGACCACGGACGCGTATGTAGGCCGATCGATGTTGGTGGCGCTGGAAAGTTTATGTGCTCAGAAGTCACGGACGACTTCGTCAAGTCAAGCCCGAGATGGGCGTTTGTTTCGATTGGCCTAGCCGGCCGAAACCATTTTGTTTTAGTTACCACAAACAAAAAATAACTTTAAAAAACGGTTATTAGTCTTTATATTAAGCCGCTTACTCGTCCAACGCCGGCTCCATTTGAGTCGAATGATGAGGGCGGAACCCAGCCGGCTCTTCAATTGGTACGGCGACGAACTGCGGGCGTGCATCAGCTGGCGGTGCGACGGGTTCGACGCGAGTTCCGGAACAATTTGTGCTGCCGGTCCTTGCAGCTTTAGTTTGACCATGGCCGCGTATGAAGGCCGATCGATGCTGGATGTGCTAGAAAGTGCACGTGTTCCAAAGTCGCGGATGACTTCGTCAAGTCGAGATCATGAAATAATCCCCGCCCTTCGCCGAGCTAGGCGATTATGTCGATTGACGGAGTCGGCCCAAACTATTTTGCTTCGGTTATAAAAGAAAAAAACTTATTTTTAGAAAACTGTTATTAGTGGTTTTTTTATAATTACCAGGGTTGAAAAGCCGCTTCGCGACTTTTCAACCCTGGCCCCGTCTGACCCCATTTTATCTACTTTCGGACTTTCGGGGTAGTGACTTTTCGGGGTAGTGACTTTACCCCCTTCACTTTGCATAGTTGTTCTGAACTGAGATGACAACAATGAAAAATAACATCTCCTACCCCTTTATATAGTCGAATCCCCACTTCCGGTCTATGCTAATTATTCCTAACAAAGAGGTTTTCACAAAAACTTAAATTTAATGTCGAAAATAGGTAATTTTGTTAAATCCGATATGCGTGCAGTCATCTCCAGGCCATTACGCATCTAATGACGTATCATACATACCTTAAAACTATGCCCCTATCGAGATATCCTCCGGACAGACAGACGGAAGTGGATGCAAAGTGGCACACACACACACAGACACACACGCACAGACACTATTTTTTATATATAGTAGGATGTGGCTTACTGCTCGAGCGCCGGCTCCATTTGAGCCTCCTCATGGGGGCCGAATCCGGCTGGCAGTTGGATTCGGACGGCGACGGGCGGCGTGCGGCCATCAGCTGGCGGTGCGAAGGGCTCGGCGAGTTCGAGTGCAGGAACAATTTGTGCCGGTCTTTGGCTGCCGTCAGCTTGCAGCCAGAAGTTGACCACGGGCGCGTCTGTAGACGGTTCGGCGTTGGAGATGCTGGAAAGTGAACGAATTCGTCAAGTCGAGACCTCTAAATAAGGCTTAAGTGCAGTTCATCCTCAGCCGACCCCCACACCGTATCCCGGCTCCCTGTTCATCTACAGGTGTGTAACGAATACCAAAATGTTTGTCTTGTTCTGGCGAGTATTTTTGTATACTTTATGCACCTGTAGATGAACAGGGAGCCGAGATACAAAAGTTGGATGCCGGCTGGGGGGGGGTAAACTGCACTCTAAGTCTAGATAATCCCCTGCTCCCCCGACTGGACGGTCGTGTCGATTGACACGGCCGCCCGAAACTAATTTGCTTTAGTTATCACAAGAAAATTTAACTTTAGAAAGCTGTCATTAATTGTTATCCTACCTTATATAATTTCGTCGCGTATCTGTGTGTGTGTGTGTCCGGCGCCAGGGAAGGCTACTTTGCATAATTCCAAAAAATACAAATTTCCTCATTCTTGAAAGTTGTACGCGCGGGTGTGGTCTGATGAAGGGAGGGGTCCGAAGGACCCAAACTGGCTCAACTCCAGATAACCCCCCCAGCCGACCCCCACCTACCGTATCTCGGCTCCCTGTTCATCTACAGGTGTGTAAAGTATACCAAAATACTCGCCAAACACAACCGCCCATGGGTTCGGCCCGGATGGTTCAAGGGAAAGGGCGTACTGTGCGTGTTTTTCGCGCGTTGCGTGCGGGTGCGCGGAATAGCAACCGGTTTTTAGCTGCGAAGGCCTGCTTTCGCAATTGCGCGACGCGTCTATCACACGCGTTGCGGTCTTTCCTCCTTTCCAAAGTTACCGGACGTTTTATTAGGAGCCGGGCCGCTGTGCACAGCAAGACGAACATTTTGGTATACTTTACACACCTGTAGATGAACAGGGAGCCGAGATACAAAAGTTGGGTGCAGGCTGGGGGGGGGGTTATCTGGAGTCCTACCCCAAACTATCGGAAAGTCAAATTTCAT